TCTGATATTCATCTTAATTATAATAAATATTGAAAATGAATATGAAATATATCATAATAAATGCTTAAAATGATAAAAGAACCAAGAGTAGTATAAAGAAATTACACACATTTCCATTTTTGAACATAGTTGCAAGGAGCCTAAGAAAATGTTTGTAAATGATATCTAACAATAATTAAGTAAAATAGCATGACCAATTTCATTTATTTCAGGAAAGTAAACTTTTAATATCAAGGATTCATTTAAATTCGTTCAAGAAGGAACAAGCTATATGATGACCTCAAACATATAGAAAAAGTTTAAAATTCAATACCAATTTATGATAAAAACAAATCACTTAGAAGTTTTCAGAACCTGTAAAGGGATATACATATGTGAAAGTACTTTCAAGAAACATCATTTTTTAATTTTTATTTTTTATTTATATATGACAGCAGAATGCATTACAATTTTTATTACATATATAGTGCACAATTTTTCATATCTCTGGTTGTATACATAGTATATTCACACCAATTCGTGTCTTCATATCTGTACTTTGGATAATAATGATCATCACATTCTACCATCATTAATTACCCTATGCCCTCTCCCTTCCCTTCCAACCCTTCTCCCCTATGTAGAGTTCATCTATTCCTCCCATGCTCCCTCTCCCTAAAGAAACATCATGTTTTATGGCAAAACTTTTAAAGGCAGTCTCTTTAAAGTTAAGAACAATTTTCATTTTCAGAAACAATTTTAATTTTATTTATTTATTTATTTTAAATTTTATTTAGAGACAGAGTCTTGCTGAGTTGCTTAAAGCCTCGCTAAATGGCTGAAGATGGCTTTGAACTCACAATCCTCCTGCCTCAGCTTCCAGAGCTGCTGGTATTAATAAGCATGCACTACAGTGCCTGGCTAACAATTTTTATTTTAATGAATCACAAAAATCTTTGCATATGGTGAATCAGTGAAGAGTTAGCATTTTCTAAAAGCTTACTTATGAGTGAATGCAAAACAATTGAATCTCTACAGTATTCCTTTTTTATCTTCTGAAGAGTATTATTTTTACTCATCATAATTCTTTAAATTTTAAAGCAGGATGGGACATAGTGCTTAATATTTAAACTTAAAGCATGTTTTTGTTTACTTTTATGGGTTAGAGATAGTGTCTGTGGATTATTTTATCCAGTAGTTTGTGTTATATCATTGTAAATAATGTATTATTCCTCCAATTTAAACTATTTATAACTTCTGTTCGTTTAATGTCTTTATAATACACATCAAGTCTAGATAAAGAATCATATTAATTTTGTGTAATTTAAGTTATACTCTGAGGGATATAGTCAGTATGTGTGAGCTCTGAATAAAAAGTACCAGTGCATTATGTTCATGTTGAGGACATAAGCTTGGGTGATCAAACACAAACATATTCACTAACACACAGATGCTCACACATATACACAAGATACATTGTGTTGTTTTAATGTTAGTTACATAGTTGCAGTGAAATTTAGCTCATATCATCAAGCAATAGAAAAAAATAATCCAAAGAAATATTGCAAGAGATTGTTACCCAGTCTATAAAAATATAAGGCGCATACAGAAAGAAAGAACATAAAATGTTATTGGAACATTTTAATATTTTATTTTCAGTGAAAGTATATGTCATGCTCCATCAAAAGAGTCCACATGTGCTATGTGTAACCCAACGACTGCGAAATTCCGAACTGATAGATCCATCATTCCAATGGCATGGGCCGAAAGGAAAAATTGTTTCAGGTAGGATTTTATTTCAACTATCATAATTAAAAAGATGAATCTGAAATGTACTCAGAGCTAAAAAAACAATACTCATATCTCACCTATTTATCTATTTCTTCAATTATTTTTCTTGTAATTTCTTTCTGGATAGGTCTACCATTAGATGGTGTTACTATATTTTACTTTTCTTTATTCCACATAGACATACCAGAAGATTGAGGTATTTGGAGAGTTCTCTAAGCATCTCTGTTCCAAAAAACATTGTTTCATCATATACAAATTAATTTATATATCTGACTTCCTTACCATTTTATCTATTCACCTTCATATTTTAGTTTAAATGCATATTTTAATTTTATTCTAAATTTCTAATTTGATAAAAGCTTATATATATATATATATATAAATTATATATATATATATATATATAAATTACTTTAGATTTTTTTTAAAGAGAGAGAGAATTTTTAAATATTTATTTATTTAGTTAGTTTTTTCGGTGGACACAACATCTTTATTTTATTTTTATGTGGTGCTAAGGATCGAACTCAGCATGCTGTGCATGCCGGGTGAGCGTACTACTGCTTGAGCCACATCCCCAGCCCTAGATGGTTTTATTTATTATTTTGCTGGTAGTATGGACTAATGAATTTCATACTAAAAATGTTTTTGATGAAGTACCTAATCATTTTTACATATCCTCAGAGGAAAGGTGTTTTTTAAAAATTAGTTTCCTTTTCTTTCCTTTAAAAAACCATTTATAGATTAGAGATAATACCTGTGGATTAAAATCTGCAAGATTATATTACTTATCATAGATGAAGGAAAGTATAATTATTCACAGTCTTCCTAAAGAGGCTTTTGTAGGAAATATTTATTTTGTAACATGTTTTAATTTATATTTTTATTTAATTGAGGGATGTTCATTTTCATAATACTAATGTTCATCCTAAATAGTTCAAACTTTAAAGAATTAATCTCTTTAGGGGAGGTGTTTTTGGTTCTTTGAAAGTGAGTCATCTACTATCCTGTAGTCAGTGACTATGTGGTAGATGCCATTGTGCTGGGTTTTGTGGGAGATAAAAATATCAGAGATAACTTCTGCCTCATTACAGTAACATACAAGGAACAGTTGTACCATGTATTCACGGAATTGGAACAAGTCAGTAAAAGAAATTCTAAGAGTTTTGGTAGCGGTAACTTATTTAAATCAGTGAAATGGTTCAAGTGTAAAACCACTTGATACTGAAAATATAATCACATTTTGTTTTTGTTGTTCCCTAATAGCAGCATATAATATGAAATTATAATTTAAATACATTCTATATTTGGTATTGAAACTGTTAAGTTGAAAAGTAGAAGCATTTAAATGTGAATTTTTCTGTTGTGTTTGTTGGTTCTTTGATTTGGAAATTGAAATTTGAAGCATTTTCTTCTCTAAGTTGGCCAGGTTTTGTTTGCAGTTTATACCACAAAGTATAGTATGTAATTCAATTTATCCTTTAGGAGTAAGCAGTATTTTATTTTACTTTGTGGTTATTTCCAGGTAAGGATAAAATCACATCAATACAGTGTTTTTTATGTATATAAAAACTATTGTCATTGAATTCTTATATTCTAACTTGGTGATTGTGACATCTTATAGTTCATCGTCTACCAGGTTTTAAAGTTTATTAATCATACGGTCACTTTTATTTCAGAAAGAACGGCTAAAGCTTTAATTTTCTTACAGTTTGTAAAGGAGAAAAGCACCTTTGGACTGTAGCTTAAAGTATACTGCACTTTAGTTATTTACTCAATATTCTAAAGATAGTTAGACTAAAATTGAACCAAAGAAATTATATGATTATGTAATTAGTTGTATATTCCTTTGGGAAAAATATTCAATTGTTTAGATATGTTGTGAAATGTGGGGGACGATTCTTAGATTTGGTCAATCTGTCTCTTATTCATGTATTCATTTACAAAATAATGCATATCTTGTGAAAAGTTCTGTACTTCTCACTCTAACCCTGATAGTCCTCTGATGAGTTATCTCTTTTTGATGTGTCAACTTTCCCACTTTTCTAAATGCTTACACAAATGTATATAAGCACACACACACATTCATGTGTTTGGTTTCCCCTATAACCTACCCTTACCATGTTTAAGAATAATATAGATTATACTTATTATATTTTAATTTTATATTTTGAAATATCTTACATATACAAATGTTTATAAGATATATGGAAGTTTTGAAGCACAGTAACACAAACAACCTTTAACCTGCTGTTAAAATTTAAGATACACTATTAGCAAGACTGTTGGACTTCCCAGTAAGTTGCTTTAAAATCTCTTTCCTGAATCTTCAAGCCCCACCTCCTCCAGGCAAACATTTTCCTGAATACTTAACAGATTTTTTTTCTTTTCCTTTTCTTTGTACATTTACCATGTGAGTTTATATATATGTACATTCTTTTATGTATGTTTTCTAAAGGTGTATATTTTGGCTTAGTTTGTGAATTTTTTTTCACATTTTTCTTTTCCCTCCTCTGACAGTGTTCTTATGAATGATGGATAAAAAATTTATATATTTAAGATGTACATGTGACATATTGATACAGGTAGACATAAATAATTGCTACATTTGTGTTACTAACATATAGATTATTTCATATGATTGCCTTTTTCTCATGAGAACACTTAAGAATTATACTTTATTAGCAGAATTCAAGTATACAGTACATTATTGTGAACTATCAATACATTATTGTGAACTATAGTCATGATGATATATGTCATTTCCAAAAATTATTTATCTTCTAATTGATAATTCATGCCCTTGCACCAACAGCTGGCAGTTTACCCCATCTCTATCCCCTAATAATAACTCTTTTCTGTTTATATAGTTTGGCTTTTTTAGATTCCATGTATAAGTAACATCATGCATATATGCCTTTCGGTGTCTGGCTTATTCACTTAACGGTGAATTTTATAAATATAATAATATGTATATAAGAGTTACTATGTATGAGATAGTATTCTAAACAATTTACACATTCTTTATTTAATTTTCACAATAACCTTTTCCAGTAAGTACAGCAATTTTTTCCATTTATATATTGGAAAGAAAAGGCATTGGTTGAATAAGGTGTATTTCTGAAGTCGAAAGTGATTGCAGTCTGACTTACAGAGTTTGTAGATACAGTCTCAATGAGGAATAAATAGGATTATCACCAGTGTATGCATTTTGGTAGTTTGCAAATTTCAAGGAATTTGTCCAGCTTGTTGGATTTTTCAGCTTGTCAATTTTATGTGTACAAAATTGTAGTAAAAAAGTAGTTGTAATATATTCCTATCTTTTAAATATATTCAGGTTCTATGGCAGTGTGGCCCTATTCCTTCATGATTGATTGTTGATTCTGTCCTCTTTGTTTTTGTTCTTTCTGGCTACATGTTCAAAAATGTATCATCTTTTTGAAGGATTGGCTTTGTGTTTCATTGACTTTCTCTTATTTTTCTGTTTTCAAACTATTGATTTGTTTTACCCATATTATTTCCTTTGTGTCTAATTTGCATGTCTTTTTCTTTTGCTGGTGGTAGAATTCTGGATTGGCAGTTTTTTTTTTTTCTTTCAACATTCTAAAGATGACACTTATTTTTACTAGCATAATTTCTAATGAGAAATCTGCTGTGTTTCTTTGTCTTTCTGTGATTGATGTATCATATTTTTTTCTAATACCATTGGCTTTTCATTTTTGGCAATTTGATTCTATTTTTTTTCTTTGTGGTATTGGTGATTAAACCTAATCATCACTGAGCTACATCCCAGCTCTTTTTATTATTTTATTTTTATTATTTTTTTTTCTTTTTGGATTTTTTTCAAACTTTAAGCCTTTATTTAGTAATTCAATGTCAAAATACAAACAGCAACAACAAAAAAAAAAAAAAAAACAACAACAACAACAACAACAAAACACAGAATTCTTTATTTTGGCCGTTTCTAAATTGTCATCTCTTACACTATTGCTTCTGCCATTATTTTTCTCTTCTCCTTCTGAGATTTCACTCATGCCTTTTTTTTAAAAAATAATTTATTTGTTTTTAGTTATACATGACAGTAGAATGCATTTATGCACTTTGATATATCATATTGTTTTATTTTGAGACAGTGTCTTGTTATGTGGCTTATGGCATTACTGAATTGTTGTGTGTGGCTGGCCTCAAACTTGAAATCCTCCTTTCTCAGTTTCCTGAGTTACTGGTATTATAGGCATGCACCACCATGCCCAGTGATTTGATTCTTTTGTGTATATTTTTGTTTGGTTGTTATATTTTTCTGCATGTGTTTTCTGAGATTTTTGGATCTGTAGTTTGACATCATTAGTTTTTGAAAATTCTCAACTGTTGTGTCTTCAAATACCTTTGGCCCCATTCTGTGCCACCACATCTTCTATAATTCCCTGATATTCTATCACACTTACACAACCCTTTCTAATATAGTACTGTAGATTTCATATTTTCTTTTTTTCTTCTCCTTGTGTTTCAATAAACACTTTGAATAAGTGTATAGTTTTAGTATTTCAATTAATCATTTCTGTACTTTGAATTTCTCTTCTAAAATTACTTAACTGATATTATATATTGTCTCTGTTTTCCAGTATATCTTTTGTCACATTAATTATTTTAAATTAATCATCAATAATTTTTATACCTATGCCATGAATAAGTCTTGTCCTTAGCATTGCTTGTTATCTTGTGAATGTGCCAATTTTTTTGCCTTTTCATATGACAATTTTTATTGAATTTGGACATTTTGACTAGGAAAGTAGATATTTTTCTGCTTTGAGATAATCATCCTTTAATGTTAGGAATGTGTTAATTTAGTAAAAAGTTTTCGGACTTTGATATTGATTGTTGCCATGACTGTATTCAGTGCATTGAAATCTTCAAATACCCTTAAAATGTTTAAGGTATAGTTGGATTCATTAGAATTTTTTTTCCAGTGTGTAACCTTTCCTTGGATTTCTTATTTTGGACAGTTGCCCAGAAAGTCCTTCTTGCAGCCCTGCCAGCATTATTCCACTGCTTTCTTTAAAAAAAAAAATTAAATGTTTATTAGTGATTGATAATTCAGAAAGAGGGACATTCTCTGAATTGATTCAGTTTTAATCTTTGACAAACATAAGATCTCAATTTCTTGGGAATTTAGCCTTCATGATTGCTCTGGGTCCTCCTCCAGCTGTAATTCTGACCTAGCACTTCTTCCTGACTTTTTGCCAAGGCTGAAACATTTTTTCCTACTTCCTGTTTCTTGAGCTGCGACAAGTTTCTCTAGCACTGTAGGTAACAGTTTTGTTTCTCTCTGTATTTAAAAGCTTTATTCCATTAGGAGGTGTGGGGAAAAGTGTGTGTGGGTAGAGTTTTGGCAAAACCTACATTCTTCTAGCCAGCTCCTGTGGAAAGCTTGTTTCCTTTGATCTTTCTGTTTGCATGGGAGGAGTTTGTGAATAAAAAACTTACAACACTGCACAATTTTCTAGTGTGTGATCCCTTGAGGGTTCATTTTCTTACATTGGTCTTCACTTGGCTTTTAACAACTTATCAAAAAAATTTGGCTGAATCTTCTTACCATGTTAGTCAAATTTCTGTGGCTATGACAAAATGCCTGATACAGACACTTAAAAGGAGGAAGGACTTATTTTGACTCACAGTGTTGGAGGTTTCAATTCATAATCAGTTGGCCTGTTTGTAGGCCTTAGGTGAGGTAGGGCATCATGGCCAGGACATGTGGTGAAACAAAGCTGTACATCTCATGGCAGCTATGAAGCTGAGTGTCACTTTAATAACCAAAGTTAGCCCTTTCACCCCAAAATCCATTAAGCTGTGAATCAAAAATGAATTAATTCATTGAGGTCAAAGTTATAATGATCTAGTCATCTTCTCAAGACCCCATTTCTGAACCTGCTGCATTGGGGACCAACTCCTCAACGCATGAGCTTTGTGGGGTCATTGTGGATCTAAACCATAACCACAATTTATGTAGCAGCTGAAAAAAAATGCTCAGATCTTTGTTCTGCTTTTAAGCTCTATCTATTCTCAGATATGCCCTACCAACTCAATTTCTTTATGAATCAAGAAAAACTGTTAATTGGCAGCTTTTCCTTGGTATTTCCTTATTGTAACGATGGGTTTGTACTATTACATTCATTTTCCTTTTCTGAGCTGAAATCAGAAGTATAAACCTATTTCAAAAATAATTAGCTATAATTAAGTTAGCTTAAATTTTGTTAATTTTAGAGCTTTAAGACATGGACTTCTAGAGATCTAGTTCAACTCTGAATTTTTATATACGCTAGAAAGGAAGAATTACTAACTAATGAAACATTAATATTGAATATCTGTTGCTGCATATGTTCTCAAAACTGTCTTATCAATGTCAAGTACATAGCACTTGGGTTCATGAATTTCCATTTAGACTTAGTCACTTAAGGGTCTATGAAATGATCACTAACAAGCAATATTATAGAATGAGTCCTTCTATAGAATATGACATTCTCTGGATATCTTTTGAAAGAGTAATATTTAATTTTTTTAATAGTCAGATGGCATTTTATTATAGTTTTAATGCTACTTAGTTTTCTGTAACTCATAATATTTAACATTTGTAGTAGATATTTAAATAGATATTTTGATACATTTGTTGATACTTTTTGTGTGGCAAACTTTCATTTCAAATTATTGCCAAGAAATATATGACCTCATTGATGATTTCTTTAAAATTTACAGGCACTTTCTGTTGTATTAATGTGAGGTGATTGGTCTGTTGAAATAGATATCAAACACCTGCAAGCTCTGTAATCTATTTTAGGAGAGTTAACATGTTAACATTAATATGTAATTTTTTATTAAAAGATATTCATGAAAAAAGGCATTACAATAGAAATGTATTCTAAATTTATATCACGTTTTTCAGCTTCATCCAGAATATAGAAATGAGAGTTCTCAAGGCATATTGTTCTATGTAAATTGCTTGAGGGTGGGTATATCCATCATTTCTCCTTCAATATCTGAAGCAAGGCTTAGCATGTACTAAAAACTCAATCAGTATTTATAAAATTAATTAATAATGAAAATTGCAGCATTAAGAATACTCATCTTTGTCTTAATTTGAAGAATTTTGTAACTTAAAATTTACAAGTATTTAATCATTTACTTAAAATAGGAAAAGGTAGACATCCGTTTCCTGAGATAATTCTAATGAATGGAATATTAAATTATTAGGTAAATTTTAATACCTAGAATGTTTCTGATACAAAAGTGTAGTTATAAACTTTAAGAATAAAATATTACTTGAATGATAATGTATAGACTTTGCAGATACCTTCATATTTATTATAATTGTTACATAGAACAATTCTATGTAGACTGTCAAATATCATGATTCTTCATTGTACAAATGAAAGAGTTGTACTTCAGAAAGATTAAGTAGTTAACAAGATTAAGTAGTTAACAATATTAACAAGTAGACTTCAAACCCAGGGCTTAATACCTCAAAGTCACATTTATTTATTTTCCATTTTACAATAATAGCTTTTTTCTTATGTGATACTTCATAAGGTATGTTGAAACAAAATTGGAGTTTATGTCCTATTCTGACTCCCAATACTGCACCTCTGTTGTTCTGTGACCTTGGGCAAGTCAGATGATCTAATATTCTATATGTTTTATTTTTCATCCCTCAAGGTTATAACCCAATTTTTGCTTTACACTCTGTGTAGTGACAGAAATATTTATTAATGATAATATTTTCTTAGCTTTTCTTCTATTGTTTTATCAATTTCATACACAGTTTGTAAGCTTATTGAAGTCAGAAATAATTCATCATTTAAAATATGTAGTATTTTATAGTATATATAAATATATACTATATAAAATAACATTATGTATTTATTCTGTATATAATATATATAATTCATGTTTGTGTATATACATTTAATGTATGTGTGTATCTATATATACTATATTTATGATAGTGCTCTGCTCAATGTAAGGGGTGAATTATGAACTTATTATGTTCATTACATTGTTAGTGTCTTAATCACACAGTTGATGAACTTTGATTAGTGAAAATCTGAAACTAAGAAGGTCAGCCTGGCACCCACTGTACCTGAAACAATGTTTAGCTCTGCTCCCAACTCCTTTTAATGACTGTGTAGATAAATTTTGGTGGTTTGACTCTGCTTAATAACTGTTTTGTATTTTTCCTGTCTTATGTAATTTAAGCAACTGTATCTTATTGTTTATTAGAAAACAGCACTGCACAAGTAACATCCACAGGAAGCCTTATATTTCAGAACTTCGAGGAGGCTATGAGTGGAGTTTACACATGTTTTCTTGAGTATAAACCTACTGTGGAAGAAATTGTTAAAAATCTTCAACTAAAATATCTTGAATATGGTAAGAAATGAATTTAATTGTATATCATTTATTTATTTTTTCTTTTTGGTACTGAGAGTTGAACCTAGAGTCAGTCTACCATTAAGGTACATTCCAGGCCTTTTATTTATTTATTTTTAATTTTGAGATAAGGTTTCACTAAGTGACTCAGGGCCTCACTGAGTTGCTGAGGCTTACCTGGAATTTGTGATCCTCTTGCCTCAGCCTCCTGAGCTGGTGGATTATAGGCATGCACCACCAACCTGGATTAATATTCCTTAATGTTTTAAAATACTTAAATATTTTAACAGTATTGTTTTAAAGGGAAATTGCTATTTTGGTCTTTTTTAATTAAAATGAATCTGCCATGCTTATTTTACTTTGTGTAGTTTAATGTGGTTGGGGCACAGAATAGTTAATGGGGCTTAGTTGTTTTTTTTTTTTTTAAAGAGAATGTCATGATGTATATACATTTAAGTTTTTTAATGAAAGTAGGGGCTGTATAAATCATGTTTTCTGATGGTGATTTGATTTATTGTGTACCACTCTTAAATTCTAAGTATCATGATTACTAGTACACTGCCATTTCCTAAATCAGTATTAGGTAGCACATTGTATATTCCTTTCCTAAAAGTTTGATTGTTAATGCACAGAATTAAGAAAGAAGATTTTAGCTTAGAAAGACTCAGTTTGTATTTCTGCTTTATAGAACTATAAGATAATAACTGTGCTATTTAAGCAATTAAATTTGTGGTTATGTGTTATAGTAGTGTTATGTTTTGGATATAAAGTATTCCCCAAAAGCTTATATGTGCAACAATACAAGATGGTTTAGAGGAGAAATGATTGGGCTACGAGAGCCTTAATCTAATCAGTGGATTAATCTCCTGATGGGGATTAACTGATTGGTAAATGAAGGAGGGTAGTGTGTGGCTGGAGGAGGTGGGCAGTGGGGGTGTAGCTTTTGGGTATATATTTTGTACCTGGATAGTGGAGTCTTTTTCCTCTCTCCTTCCTGATCATCATGTGAGCTGCTTCTCTCTGCCACACTCTTCCACTATGATATTGTGCCTCACCTTGAGCCCTGAGAAATGGAGCCAGCTTCTGCCTTTCATGGAGATAATCCTCCAACTGGGAGCTAGGGTCAGAGAGAGCCCTGTGTTCTCCTCTATACCAGTTAGCATGGAATCATCATCTCTTCTGCTGTGCTGAGGGGCAGAAAGGGAATTGTTCTTGGCCCAAATACTTGCTTCATATGATTACTGTTCTGACTTTACATTTTCTTGAATAAATGTTTCTTCACTTTTTCTATGCATGTCTTAATACTATAGTATGATGTTCTCTTAAGAAAAACTCCTATGTAATTATAAGAGATACACATCACTTTTTTCATGTAGAACCATTTTTAGTGTAACAACAACAGATATCTTGGTCATCATTGTTAATAGTGATAACAGTTAACTTTTTAAGAATTTTAGAAACCATGTCCCTACCATCATGAGCTTGACAGCTTCCTCATATGTGAAGACAGCTGAGTTTTACTTCTTTTGACTTCGTTTAATGGAATTGGTCAGTATTTGGAAGCTTTGTATATAGTGAACCAATAGTGTTTGAATTGCTTGAACATAATGTTACAAAACCCTGCATGGGCAGAAAATACTCATTCAAAGTACTAGAAATTAATGGATGGATACTTCATTAATATGGTTTCAGATTATACCATCCAACAAATTTTTAAGAAATTCCCCACTTGGTGAGTGTGTGTGATGTCAAAAAAGAACCTTCATGGTTACCTGAAAAGATTGCTTTCTTTCCAATTATATACCTGTATAAGAAAATATTTTTATGTTCATATATCAACTTGAATGCAGAAATAAATTTAAGAATATAGTGGAATTATATGAAACCAGGCCTTTAAAAATGGCAAAACATAAAACAATACTATTTTCTCTCTGTTTTTGAAAAGATATTGTCCTAAAATGTTTTTATGTTATCTAGTGGATTTATTTTCACTTTTAATGAGTATATATTTTTAAAGTTTCTATTTTAATTTCTAGTACTGTATATATTGATACATAAAACCCAAATGAAAGTTTTTATGTGATCCTCAGTAATTTTTAAAAATGTGAAGAGAACATAAGACAAAAAGTTTTGAAGATACCTGCTATAGATTTTAATCATTGTCATCTATTTTAGATACTGTTTCTTCTAATTATAATATATAATTTATGTATTGATTTTTATGTCATTTTTATCATTTTCATTTCTTCTAGACTTGTTTCTTTTTTTCTAAACTTTCTGATTTTAATTGGAGGATTTTAGTTTACAAGCTGTTGGGGGAGTCTTTGCACATTAGTTGATTCCTTACAATGATGTAAGGGACACAGCATATAGTTGTGTCATAGGTGAGGTGAAAGATAAACAATTGGATCATCAAGGGTAAAGAGGCATAGGAAATCTTAGTAAAAGATCCCTACACTCTCCTTCACTGAGGGGTTGCATGGAGCCTTCTCCTTTCTTCAGTAGTGAAAGTCTAGTAACATGTGCCATGTTTCTGCCCAGAGATGCAGTAGAATCTCAGTAGCCAGTGTTAATTAGGAACTAATCAGGTGCCTAGGCATTCTGTGCCTACCAACTATAAAAAAATCAAGCCTCTGAGAAGACAGACAGGTGTGTTCAGAGCCTCAACTTGGAAACAGTTTTATGATGGTGGTGGGGGGGATCCATCTGTGTAGGGAAATATTTACTAGCCAAAAGCCAACCCTACAAACAGCCTCTACTTTCTTGTTAACTCATATACATGAAATAATCCTGTATTATTGTGTGTGTCTATGTAGACTTCCACTAGGCATTCAGAAGAAAGTACTTTTGAGATAGTGAGAATGTTTTGACAGTATGTTGTTTTATATTCAGACTTCTGCCTGAGGCAATAGCTTGATATGTTGCAAATTTCTGGAAAGCAAAAGTTGCTCTTAAAATCCACAGGTAGAGAGGCACTTGCTTTGTCTCCATGCGTTATCATGAGACTTGCTGTAGTTTACAGCTCTGACTTCATGTGTTCAATTATTTCATGTGACATTTGTATGCATTATATGCAGTTGATATTATAAATCATGATGTATGTTTATGTATATACATGATAAATGTGTGCATTATTTATTTTATGCTATAGTTGAATCAGTGTGTGACAGATTTATAAGATTTGTATCTAGGCATTTTCTTTGTTTTCAGTGTTCTTGTTTACTCTTTGGTGAACCTCTTTCTCCTGGTAACATCTTTATTTTTAGTTTATAGGATATTTTTCCTGTTTGTTCCTTTATTACTTCACTGTTTTGTCTCTCCTTCTGGAACTCATTTTGTTTGACATTAGTTATCTTGGATCTCTCTTCCTTATTTTATGTTGCTCTTGTAATTTTGTTTCTTTATTACTGTATGCTGTTTGAGACCATTGTGTGGTTCTCATTCCTGGTCATAGATGAAACCATGGATATTTCTTTAGCAATTAGAAGCTGTCTAGTGTTTATATAAAAAACAGAAGTAACTAAGAAAGTAGATAGAATCCTAGTTTCGATAGTGTAACTTAAACGAGTACGTAGGAGCTTGGTGCACATGCCTGTAATCCCAGAGGCTCAGGCTGAGGCAGGAGTATCTTGAGTTCAAAACCAGCCTCAGTAATTTAGCAAGTCCCTGAGCAACTCAGTGAGACCCTTTGTCTAAATAAAATATATAAAAAAAAAAAAACCTGGGGATGTGCCTCAGTGGTTAAGTGTCCCTGATTTCAATCCCTGGTAACAATAACAACAACAAAAGTCAGATAGTGGAAAAATGGCAGCATTCACTTCATTGTAAGTGGAGAATTCTTCTTCAGCAGTGTAAGCCAGGAGCAGGCAGGGACACCCTCTGGTTGACTGAAGAACATTGGAGCTCTCTATATTTGAGGTGAACTTTCTGATCTTTGGTATTGTTATGGATTACTTGTCATTTTTATATTTCTTGTATCTCTTCAGTGAGACTTGAGGATGGGCTTGAAAAAAAAGTGTTGGCAATTGTATAACTGTAAGATGAAGAAATGTTAAGTCTGAGCATCACATTATAGTGGTTCAGAGCACAAACTCTGGGGCAAGACTCCCTAGGTTATATTCTTAATGTTTTTATTGGTTCTTGTTAGATATACATGACAGTAGAATGTATTTTGACTTTTTATATGTACATTGAGTATTCTTGTGGTTGTACATGATGTAGAGTTTCAATAATGAACATAGAAATGTTATGTCAAGTTCATTCTACTGTATTTCCTATTCTCATCCTTCCTCCTTTTCCTTCATTCCCATTTGTCTACTCCAATGAATTTCTATCCTCATCCCCCATTGTGAGTTAGTATCTGTATATTAGAACATTTAGCCTTTGTTTTTGTTTTTTTTTTTTTTTTGAATTATCTTATTTCCCTGACCATGATATTCTTAAGCTCCATCTGTTTGCCGGCAAATGTCATAATTTCATTCTTCCTTAAGGATGAGTTATATTCTTTTGTGTTTATATACCACATTTCTTTATCCATTCATTTGTTGAAGGGCACTTAGGTTGGTTTCATAGTGTAGCTATTGTGAGTTGGACTACTATAAACACTGATGTGGTTGTGTCCTTTGGATATAAAATGAGGAGTAGAATAGCTAGGTCAAATTGTGGTTCCATTCCATGTTTTCTGAGGAATCTCCATACTGCTTTCCAGAGTGGTTAAACCAATATTCAGTCCCATCAGAATGTCTGAGTGTACCTTTCCACCCATATCCTTGCTGACATTTATTGTTACTTGTATTCTTGATAATTGCCATTCTTATTGGAGTAAGATGTAATCAGTGTAGTTTTAATTTGCATTTCTCTAATTGCTAGATATGTTGAACATTTTTCATATATTTGTTGACCATTTGTGTTTCTTATTCTGTGAAGTGGTTGTTTAGATCATTTGTCTATTTATTGATTGTTTTATTTGGGTTTTTTTTTTGTATAAGGTTTTTTGAATT